GGAGCCTCTGCCGTGGTGAGAGCTTGGCTGCCGGGCTGGGAGCCTCTTCTGACAATTTTGTTTAGAAATTAAAACGAGCAGGTTTAAGGCGTGGGGATGGCCTTGTGGGGGTTTTGCAGAGAGCGCTCCAAAGCCCTCGCCGTTCAGACACTGGCGATGGGGATTTGGTTTTTGGGTGCTGTGGCACTGTGTGCCTTCCTTGGGGAGAGGGGAATCGTGGATTTGGTTTCTTACGCTGTCAGACGGGCGCTGGTTTGCAGAGGGACGAGGGCCCGGCCGGTAGCAGCTTTGTGCCTCGATGCAGATAAATCCTGTGGCTGTTATTTTTGTAGCTCGTCTCCAATGAGGATGGAGGTGGCGAAGTTGGGAGCGCGGAGGCTTTGCTACCCCCATCTCGCTTTGCTCGCACAGCCCGTTTGGGTTTTGCCGCGTGGGTGAGAGGAGTTGGCTCACGGAGGGAGGGAGCGAAGGCTGCAATGGGAGGGGGGGATGGAGGGAGCGGGGCTCTCCCAGGTAATGGGGCTGTGTGGGGCACGGAGGGAGCCCTCGGGGGAGGGGGGGAGATCATGCCCGATCTGTGCCCACCAAACCTGAGGGAAGGCGGGTTTCTGAATTAATTTTGTCCTACAAAGCTTTCAGGCCAGTTCAGGGGAGGCTGGCAGCTTGGTGATTTCCAGGGATTGTGAACATTAATTCAGCCAGACCAGCGAGACCTGCCTTGCAGGTTACAAATTTGTGCTTTAGTTCCAGCTGATGCTAATTACTTTAATATAATTAATGTCTTCAGGCACCACTGGGAGGGTTGGAAGCGCTGCAGACAGCGAGTGATCCTCCTTCCTTCTACACCTCCAGGTGTAGAGAAACCAGACGTTCCTCTCTCATGTTTTATTTCGGGAGGCTGAAGCTGTGGCTCAGGGGGGACTTATCCTGGCAGTGGGAGGTTTTCCTGCCCTCTTCTCTTCTCCACGTGTTTTTGAGTCTCGAGATCCGAAACCAGTTCCTGTTTCTGGAGGTGAAGGGTGCTGAAACTGGGAGGGGTTGATGCTCCATGGAGCCACATCTGTGGCTCCCATAGGAGAGGCTGCTGTTCCCGTTTTCTGCCTTGCAAACTCTGGCTCCCGCCCGTGACTTCTTGTCGCTTTGCAGACCGAGATGGGCTCTCCTGACCCCCCTGAAGCAGTGGGGATCCCCTCTCCTTCCCTCCCCACTTCCTTTTGCACCCCAAGTCTCAATCCTGTGAACGACTTCGTACCTTGGCGCCTTCAATCTGAAAATCCTCCTTTTCCTTAAATCTATCTTACTTAGCTTCACCCTGCACCGCTTCTGTTTGATTCAGCCAGGAAAACAAACCTTGGTTTGCCAGCAGCCGACAGTGAACCCTGCAGGGGTTTTTTTGGGGTATTTTTTCTTTGTGGAAAGGCTGATGTTCCCCAAGGACAGAGGGTGGTTTGTCTGCTGGATCACACTGCAGTGGGGAAGAAGCACTTCCCATCCGTACAAGGAACAAGCCCCTGCACGCTTCCCCTGCGAAACAGGCAGCACAGCTCCACTGCTACCATCCCATGGGTTGTTTTATTTTCCCCTTCCTCTCCTTAAAGAGCGAGCTCTGCAGCTGCAGGTGACATTTCACAGTGCTGCAAGGGCCACCTGGCTTAGGGACCCCCCAGCAGCCACGTTCAACCCCAGACTGGGTTTCCAACCCTGCGAGAGGATGGGGGAAGCCCTCCCTGAGCATACCAGGGCGTGATTTTTCAATGCTGTCTAATATATATAAGCACAAGACCTTTTGGATGAAAGAAAAAGGCGGCAGGGATGGGTTTTCTGCGCCGGTGAGCGACTCAGGCTGCTCTTCCCACACCAAAAACCCCGTAGATGAAGCCTGGACTGTGCTGGGAAGGTTTTGCTGGTCTTTGGGAGCTTGATCCGTAGCAGAAAGGCTCTGAGGAGGCTTTGGTTACTGACTGCTTTGCTTTTCATCTTTTCCCCTCCCAGGTCGGCGCAGGAGATGAAGCACATGGAGAACATATCCAGCCTGTTACAGGGCAGCAGCCCGGGCGAGTATCAACGGCTGGATCCCAGATCGGAACGAGAGGCGGTTGCCGCTCCCGGCGAGCGGCCCTGGGAGATGATCATGGACAAGAAGCACTTTAAGCTCTGGCGGCGGCCGATCGAGGGCACCCACTTGTACCAGTACCGAGGTAACGGCGTTCCCCATACCCTGCCCATAGCTTGTCTTTCCTGCACTGAGTCGGTGCCTCCTGCGTCCTGCCTGGCCTGTGTTTATAAGAAACCAGAAAAAATGGGAATTCTCATCCTTTGCATCCCTCTCCGCAGATCCCGTCTCCCCTGAGCCCTTTGGAGGGGTCCCAGCCCTGTCAGCTGCCTTGAAAATGCCTTTTCCTTTTAATCTTGCTGCACTGAGATAAAGACTTGCTTATGCCTGGGATTAAAAACTTTCTCTTTACCCCGCAGTGTTTGGGTCCTACACGGATGTGACTCCCAGGCAGTTCTTCAATGTACAGGTGAGCTCCTTAGGCATGTTAGAACTAAAACACAGCCTCTGCCGGAGGGGTGGGGTGGAGAAACGGCGAAATTCTCTTCTCTTTACACCATTTACGTGATCTAGAACAGATCCCAGCATCCATCAGAAGCAGGGCGAGTTATCCCACGCCCTGATCAGGCTTTGCTGCCAGTCCTTGCTGGGAATGAAGGATCGGCACGCGTGGGCTGCTATCGGCTGCGGGAGCTCAGCGGGTTTCTGGTCCCAGCTTGCTCTCTGCCTGCCCTTCCAGCTCCTGCGCTTCCTCTTCTGGTGACTTTCAAAGAGTATTTAATAATTTCCTGGTGGGTAAAACGCCTGACGGTGACACAGCTTCTTTCCACAGGATGAGGAAAAGGGCCGGTTACCTTCCTTTAACGGCGCTGTTGGACTTGGTTCTGACTCAGCCTCTTTTTCTTGCCAGCTGGACACTGAATATAGGAAGAAGTGGGACTCACTGGTCATCAAATTGGACGTAATCGAGAGAGACCTGGCCACCGGATCGGAAGTGATTCACTGGGTCACTCATTTCCCGGTGAGCGGTTCCTTCTTTCCTGCTCCGGTGATCCTCCTCACCCCAGGCAAACGGCCAGCGGGGTTGATGCCTGTTCTTTCTCTTCCCCAGTACCCTATGTACTCGCGAGACTACGTATACGTTCGACGGTACAGCGTAGACAAAGAGAACAACCTGATGGTGTTAGTCTCACGGTAGGTACTGCCGGGCCGACCTCCCGGCGGCTCTCTGCCGTCTCCCATCTGCAAACAAAGCTGAGAACTGGGTATCAATTTCCTCAGCTCTTATTTTATTTTTTTTCAAACCATGCCAAGCTTCAGGGTTCTGTCTGGAAAATAAAGCCGCCTCCTCTGGGGTGAAACCCTTGTTCTCTCACTGCTCACCTCCAAAATAGTCGCAGATTCTGGGTGTAGTCGGTGCCTGGAGCTCATCTTGTGCTGCTCCCTTCTCTTGTTCCCTCCAGGGCAGTGGAGCATCCAAGTGTCCCTGAAGACCCCGAGTATGTTCGGGTCAGAACCTATGAATCCCAAATGGTCATCCGGCCCCACAAAACCTTTGATGAGGTAGGTTACGGGGTGGGCTGGGAAATGGAGCGGAAAGTTTGTCACGAGATGGCTTCCTCCTGCTCAAACCACAGCTCCGAGGGGAGCTGCACCTTCTCTGGCCATCACCTGTAGCACTAAGCTGGGCTAAATAGTTCAGAGTTGGAAAAGAGGAGGGAGTTTGTTTCCCAAAGGTGAGGGAAACCCATCCACGCACAGCTCTGGAAGGATGTGAAGCTTATCCCAGTAGCTCAAGCTCTTCCTGCAGGAGCCTGGTGTTCCCGGAGAGCCGAACACGAAGCTTCAGAGCACCAGGCTCCATGTAAAAAGCCTCGCAAGTCTTGTTCCTAGCGCTTAATGTTCTTAAAAAAAGCGTCCCTGGGTCTTTGTGGGGTACCCAGAGCCTGAAGAGAGCGCGCTGGGTCCATGGAGGTCAGGGGAATGACACCTCCTTCTCCAAAAAACCCTCCCTCTCTGCTTTCGCTGGGTCTTCGTGGCTCTGTGTCGCCTCCCTAAGGCTTCGATCGATGCCCCAAAGAGCCGGTAGCACTCGCCTTGCAGGGTGCGAGCGGCCCTAAAGGGAATTTAGGTGTGGATGCAAAGCCCGGTGGAGTTTTGCTGCCAGCTTGGGCTCACTTCGCCTTCTCCTTTCCCAGAACGGTTTCGACTACTTGCTGACCTACAGCGACAACCCGCAGACCGTGTTCCCCCGTTACTGCGTCAGCTGGATGGTCTCGAGTGGTGAGTGAGCTTTGGTGCTGCCAGTTCACCCCTTGGGGAGAAATTCCTCCGGCTCTGTGCTCTGCGACAAGCGCAGGCGCTCCTGCCTTCCCCTTCCTGCACCTGCATGGGGCACAAAATAGACAGAGAAGCTTAAAAACAGAGATCTGGAGGATTTGGGGGGATTTGTGGTGCTTTGGGCTGCTCGTCCTTTCATCAAGGGGGGGGGAAAGCCCTGCCTGGATTCCTGGTCGTGAGGAGGAAAGGGGTCTGTGCACAAGGGTGCTCTTTCTAATCCACCCCAGGCAAAAAAACAAGCAGGATCCCTTTTTTTCTTTAATAAAATGAGCTAGTTTTTCCTTACTTCAGAGCAGCATTGGCTCTGAAGTATTTCTGCAATGGAATTCCTTCCCCCTTACAGCGAAGGGGGGAGAAAACTCCTCCTGCAACCTGGTTTCAGCTGGGCCCGAGCTCCCGTGAAGGAGCTTGGCTTTGAGTGGAGGGGAGAAAAGCAGCATTTAAAGGACGCAGCTGTCCTTCCTGCAGAGCCCCCCCAGCCAAACCTGGAAGAGCCAGGCTTTGCAAAACCCACGGAGGGGTTCAACACTCCCCACCGAGCAGGGGGAGGATGGAGAGCAGCCACGTTCTTGTGTGATTGGGAGAAAAAGGGGCTGTCGTCACCTTTAACTCTTATTTTATTCATCAACAGGGGGGGAATAAAACCAGAAGTGTCTCCTGTGGTGATTTTTGTTGCCCCCCCACTTCTTACCGTCATGCGGCTCATGGTAGAGACCGATGCAAAAAAGAGCAGAGATGTTCATTCAACCCACTCGAGCATCAGCCCGATGTTTTTTTTCTTGCACCTCCCTCTTTTGCCAACCACTGAAACCTCTTTTCTTCCGGCCTGCGCTCCTTAATGCGTCTAAAACGGCGCCTAAAGCTCGGGCAGGGGGGAGCTGGTGTCGGAAGTGATTCACTGGGTCACTCATTTCCCGGTGAGCGGTTCCTTCTTTCCTGCTCCGGTGATCCTCCTCACCCCAGGCAAACGGCCAGCGGGGTTGATGCCTGTTCTTTCTCTTCCCCAGTACCCTATGTACTCGCGAGACTACGTATACGTTCGACGGTACAGCGTAGACAAAGAGAACAACCTGATGGTGTTAGTCTCACGGTAGGTACTGCCGGGCCGACCTCCCGGCGGCTCTCTGCCGTCTCCCATCTGCAAACAAAGCTGAGAACTGGGTATCAATTTCCTCAGCTCTTATTTTATTTTTTTTCAAACCATGCCAAGCTTCAGGGTTCTGTCTGGAAAATAAAGCCGCCTCCTCTGGGGTGAAACCCTTGTTCTCTCACTGCTCACCTCCAAAATAGTCGCAGATGCTGGGTGTAGTCGGTGCCTGGAGCTCATCTTGTGCTGCTCCCTTCTCTTGTTCCCTCCAGGGCAGTGGAGCATCCAAGTGTCCCTGAAGACCCCGAGTATGTTCGGGTCAGAACCTATGAATCCCAAATGGTCATCCGGCCCCACAAAACCTTTGATGAGGTAGGTTACGGGGTGGGCTGGGAAATGGAGCGGAAAGTTTGTCATGAGATGGCTTCCTCCTGCTCAAACCACAGCTCTGAGGGGAGCTGCACCTTCTCTGGCCATCACCTGTAGCACTAAGCTGGGCTAAATAGTTCAGAGTTGGAAAAGAGGAGGGAGTTTGTTTCCCAAAGGTGAGGGAAACCCATCCACGCACAGCTCTGGAAGGATGTGAAGCTTATCCCAGTAGCTCAAGCTCTTCCTGCAGGAGCCTGGTGTTCCCAGAGAGCCGAACACGAAGCTTCAGAGCACCAGGCTCCATGTAAAAAGCCTCGCAAGTCTTGTTCCTAGCGCTTAATGTTCTTAAAAAAAGCGTCCCTGGGTCTTTGTGGGGTACCCAGAGCCTGAAGAGAGCGCGCTGGGTCCATGGAGGTCAGGGGAATGACACCTCCTTCTCCAAAAAACCCTCCCTCTCTGCTTTCGCTGGGTCTTCGTGGCTCTGTGTCGCCTCCCTAAGGCTTCGATCGATGCCCCGAAGAGCCGGTAGCGCTCGCCTTGCAGGGTGCGAGCGGCCCTAAAGGGAATTTAGGTGTGGATGCAAAGCCCGGTGGAGTTTTGCTGCCAGCTTGGGCTCACTTCGCCTTCTCCTTTCCCAGAACGGTTTCGACTACTTGCTGACCTACAGCGACAACCCGCAGACCGTGTTCCCCCGTTACTGCGTCAGCTGGATGGTCTCGAGTGGTGAGTGAGCTTTGGTGCTGCCAGTTCACCCCTTGGGGAGAAATTCCTCCGGCTCTGTGCTCTGCGACAAGCGCAGGCGCTCCTGCCTTCCCCTTCCTGCACCTGCGTGGGGCACAAAATAGACAGAGAAGCTTAAAAACAGAGATCTGGAGGATTTGGGGGGATTTGTGGTGCTTTGGGCTGCTCGTCCTTTCATCAAGGGGGGGGGAAAGCCCTGCCTGGATTCCTGGTCGTGAGGAGGAAAGGGGTCTGTGCACAAGGGTGCTCTTTCTAATCCACCCCAGGCAAAAAAACAAGCAGGATCCCTTTTTTTCTTTAATAAAATGAGCTAGTTTTTCCTTACTTCAGAGCAGCATTGGCTCTGAAGTATTTCTGCAATGGAATTCCTTCCCCCTTACAGCGAAGGGGGGAGAAAACTCCTCCTGCAACCTGGTTTCAGCTGGGCCCGAGCTCCCGTGAAGGAGCTTGGCTTTGAGTGGAGGGGAGAAAAGCAGCATTTAAAGGACGCAGCTGTCCTTCCTGCAGAGCCCCCCCAGCCAAACCTGGAAGAGCCAGGCTTTGCAAAACCCACGGAGGGGTTCAACACTCCCCACCGAGCAGGGGGAGGATGGAGAGCAGCCACGTTCTTGTGTGATTGGGAGAAAAAGGGGCTGTCGTCACCTTTAACTCTTATTTTATTCATCAACAGGGGGGGAATAAAACCAGAAGTGTCTCCTGTGGTGATTTTTGTTGCCCCCCCACTTCTTACCGTCATGCGGCTCATGGTAGAGACCGATGCAAAAAAGAGCAGAGATGTTCATTCAACCCACTCGAGCATCAGCCCGATGTTTTTTTTCTTGCACCTCCCTCTTTTGCCAACCACTGAAACCTCTTTTCTTCCGGCCTGCGCTCCTTAATGCGTCTAAAACGGCGCCTAAAGCTCGGGGAGGGGGGAGCTGGTGTCACCCACGCACCCCCCTGCCATGGTAACTGTGGGGCCAGGGCCTCCTCCATCCACTTAAAGCTCATTTTTTGTAGAATAAAAATGATGAGTGGTGGGATAAGAGCATCTCCAGGTGTGACAGCACGGAGCTTCAGCCCTGCCTGGGGCAGAGGCGATCGTTTTAAACATTAAACATTAATTAATGTGTCACAAGCTCACTCCCAGGTCATTTATAATGGAGCCAGGAGGCAGCGAGGTGCCCTGGGATGCACAGCGGGGGCTGCCTGGCTTGGAGTCCTTGCACCCCCTCTTCCAGGACAGATCTCAGCAAGTCAAATAAGGGTTGATTGATTTATTTATTTTTTTTTTTTTAATTAAAAAAAACCAAACAAAAAACCTCATCATAAAGCACCCTCAGGGCAAGGTTACAACCCAGCAGGGGGGCAAGAAACGCCTTCGTGCCAGCAAGGTTGTGGGATGCCCCTTGAGTAAAGCGGCAGAGCTGCGTTTTTAGGAGAAAAAAGGGAAAATCGTGGGGGAAAGAAAAATTGGGGGAGATGGGAATGGAGCTGGGGAAGGGGGTAGGACAGGAGGATCAGCCCTCTGGAGCCCGGTGAACGCAGGGATGCCCGGGTGCTTGTCCCCCTCCCGCTTTGCTCACCCTCTCCTGCTTCTCCTTCCCGCCAGGCATGCCGGATTTCCTGGAAAAGCTGCACACAGCAGCCCTGAAAGCTAAAAAGATGGAGATCGAAGTGCGGGACTATATGTCTGCCAAGCCCATCGAGAGCGGCGGCAGCGAGGGGAAGGCGAGCGTGGCAGCAGCGGAGCACAAGAGCGATGGTACCTGCAGCCCTGCCCAGCTGGAATACGCCTGAGCAGCCAAACCTCCGGCCCCGGGATGGGATGGGGGGCTCCGGAGCTCCAGAGAGGGAACCTGTGCCGTGCCGCCGCCGGAGCTTAGCTCAGTCTTTTCCCTCCCCGTCTCATCTCCAAAGCTCTGCTCCCGCGTGAGGACGGGGATCCTGCCCCCCGCGCCGTCTGTGTTCGTGGCCAGGCCGATGAAATCTCATGCCCTAGAATCATTTTTCTGTACTGGTAAATGTTTCCTCTCCCCGACAGGAAAAAAAAAAAACCAAAAAACTCCAAGCAAACCCTAAAACCCCATCTTCTATCACGGCACAGCCAGCCCCTCCTCCCCTCCTCCCTCTTCGGACTCTCAACCCCAAATATTTTTGGGTCTTGGCTTTTCTACCACGGCGGCTGGATGAGGACGCTCCAAGTCACCACCTCAGGTTTTTGGGGTTTGTGTTTTGTTTTTGTTTTTTTTCCCCCACCAAAAAACCCGTCAACCTCCTCGGCCGGCGAGGGGGAGGTGGCGTTACTGGGGTGGTTGACCCGAACTGGTGAAACTGGGGTAAAAAAAGTGCTTTTTTGGGGTGGGTTTTAGCTGCTGGTTTTGTGGAGGGGAGGGTTGGAGCTTTGGGGATGGCGGGGGGGGGGCGCCTCCCTCGCGCTCG